TCTCTCTCTCTCTCTCTCTCTCTCTCTCTCTCTCTCTCTCTCTCTCTCTCTTTTCTTCTTCGTCGGGGTCTTCTCTGCAGGTGCGCGCGGCGGCTTCTTGAACCTCGGTGTCCTCTATGGCGGACTTCTTCTTCTTTGGTGGCCACTTTGCGATGGCGCATCACTCCCTGCGACACACAACGCAGCGCGTGGAACAGCGGGTACCAGCTCCGATACCAATGCAATCAGACTCGCTTTCATTCACACTTTAAATGCATGCAAAAAGTAGCGCAGCAAACAGGCGACATGCGCCCACTCAAAAGTCAGAGATATGGCAACCCAGATACGAGTTCACTTCCAATGGCTATGGCGATACAGCGCCCATACAACTCTATGTTCGCATGCAGTGGATCACCCTGGATATCCCACACGCTTCTCTCTGAACACTCACACTCACACACACTGAACACTAACTACAGCTATGGCGGCTATGGCCGCCATTACCCTATCGCTATGGCTAAGCTTTGTCTCTCTGCCCACTTTGTCTTCGGGCTCACTGCAGACCTCCTTGCACAAGTCGCTTTTGCAGCGCTTCCGCATGGCTCACGCAGGAATGAATGAATGGCTGGGCGCTGCCGATGATTTATACTTCTGCAGTGCGTTGGTCTGGCCCCTTCCCATGCCCGAAGTGCACACAGTCCCATGCGGTACTTGCTTGACTGGACTACGACTGACTAGGGACAGGGAGTGCTGACTCAGCATGGGTAGACTGCACCACTTGACCACTAGCCTCGCCACTTGCCCACTTGCCTCAGTCTAAACGTAGGCAACTTCGAAAGGCCACTACTTGGACCTTCCGGAAGGCCGTAGATTGGCCTTCCGTGACTGTAGCAGTTACGACTCTGACCCTTCTGGACTTTAGCAGCTACGACCTTGACCTTTCGGGAAAGCTACAACTAGGACTGCTACACCTGACTAAGACTCCTACTCGACAGGTCTACAGATCGAACCCATGCTACCTATGGACCCTAGGACAACCTACCAACTGCTACAAATACACAGGTCATGGGTTCAACTCTACGGGTTGACACAGGTACTGTACATAGGTAAGGTGGGGGCTAGGGATTGAGCCCTGGGATCTGCATCAGCTACTGCGAACTGGTGAATACCGTTTCAGTATGGTCTGGACCTGGCGCATTCTTTCTGTGTGTAGCGCCAGGCCCCTTCACACCTTGTGATGAGGATGATGTATGTTGGGTCTGCATTGCGACATTGGTTGGGCTAGTCATTGGCATTCTAGCATTTCGCTACGCTGTCTTGTACTACGTGAGGGAGGTCAGTCCCGGTCAGGTCTGGATTTTTATCGAAGTCTTCCACTGCGCTACAAAGCACCATTTTTGTATGTATCAGGATGTACATTGCTTGTTGAGATTCTACCGGCACTGCATTGTCCATTCAGTCCTTTTCATCACATTGCGGATCCTTGGCTATATATGTACATCGCCCAACTGGGCATGTAACACTTCCGCAAACCCTCCACACCTCAACTCGATCAACGGGCAGGAGGAGCAAGAGCATACTCTTACTAGGGCCTTACCTGATGCATCTCCTAACAATTATGGCTCGATACATTTGAAACATTTGTATCCATCCTTAAACACACATGATGAATCTCTCTCTCTGTCTCTGTGTGTGTGTGTGTGTGTGTGTGTGTGTGTGTGTGTGTGTGTGTGTGTGTGTGTGTGTGTGTGCGTGTGTGTGTGTGTGACAGAGTCATTTCTCCCTCTCCCTGCCTTTCTATGTCTCTGTCTCTTTGTCTCTCGGTCTCTCTCTCTTTGATGCACAACCGTTTCTCCCTTTGCCTATTCGACACAGATGGCCATTTTTTTTCTCTCTGTGGCACACGTTCCTGTTTCTCTGTCTGCCTCTTATCCCTCTTACCGAGTCTACTGATTGTGCTATAACTCAAGGGTTTGTGTCTGTGTGGTCACTGTGATGCTCTGTGTGCCGAGTGATGGAAAACAAAGGAAGAAAACAATCCAATTCAAAAACAAATCAATAAATCGGTTCTTGTCACTTCTTGATTATTGTTAATTGAAACAACAATGGTTTGGACATCGCCTCAGTAGAAGTTGATCAAAAGAACTTCTTACATCACACCCTACATGTACATACTTTTTTTCACAACATGCTGAAAACCTAGGGAGCGAGTGCGCGTGGATGGTTTGGAGTTTGTCAGAGGCTCTCACGCCCCTGTGAAGATCAGCAAACCGCTCCCTAAGGAGCTTGAAGAATTGAGGGAGGGGGGTGACTTTGGAATAAGCGACCATGTTGTTTCCGCAACCGGCCGCGCGCACGAGAGACCTAGCAAAACAAGTCGCTTCCTCCTTGAGGGCTTGGAAGGCTACAAGGATCTGATCGTCCTGGACAATATGTTGTAAGTAAACATAATTGTTTACTCTAGCCTCAAGGTTATCGAAATTCTCCTCAGGCTTCCCGTCGTACGCGTCTGGGAACTTAAGCTTAACTGGGTCCTTGCGGGGTCTGGCCTCGCTCTCGACGGTGGCTACTGCTTTGGCACCCTCAGTGGTGCCTTCACATAACTTCCCCACGTTATCTCTCAACCGCCTGACTTTGGCACCAACGTGGGTAACCATGTGGCGCGGAAACTCTCGAAACCCTGACCGCATGGCACTCAGGGCCACATCGTGACAGCAGTTGGCTTGACGTTCCTCCAGCTAGGCCTTACTCAATACCTCTAGATACCCGAACATCTTGTCCATTTTGGTAGAAACATCTGCCTGCGCCTGCACTTCTTGCCTACTGACTTCGGCACCAACGTGGGTAACCATGTCGCGCGCAATCTCTGGAAACCCTGACCGCATGGCAGTCAGGGCCACATCGTGACACCAGTTGGCTTGGCGTTCCTCCAGCTAGGCCTCACTCAATACCTCTAGATACCCTAGCATCTTGTCCATTTTGGCAGAAACATCTGCCTGCGCCTGCACTTCTTGCCTACAGGCTCTCACCTTCTCCACCTCTACAGTCAACCGATTAACTTCCTCCCTCCTTCTCTTCTTCTCCCTCTTCATTCTCAACTTCCACTCCAACTTCTTCTCCTCCTCTGTCTCTTGTCGTTCCAGGGAGTCCTCAATCGTTGCTAGTGCCCTKGCAAACGYCKCCTYKTCCKCCTGTGGCACATACAACTRTGCCTCCTCATCTTCCCCCAACGATAAATTGGCTATCCACTCGCTGATCTTCTTCTCCATCTCTGCATCCTCATTCGTCGTGCCACTACTCTCCCCTTTTGCTTCCCTGCATCTTCTCTCTTCTGCTTCCTCTGCTGCCGCTTCTTCCTCGGCAGCCTTTTTCTTCTCCTCGATCTCCTCCTCCAACTTCTTCATTTTTGCCGCCTGCTCCTCAGCCACTGCTTTCAATTTCGCTTGCTTCATGAGCTCTTTCCTCTCTCTATTCTCTTTCACTAAGGTGGCCATCTGCTCTTGTTGAGCCTGGGTATAGGGGCTAGTGCGCTTCCCACCACGGGTGTCAACCATGTTGATTAGTGCACAACCTGGTTAACGGTTCCAAACCTCACCACTTAGACTCTAACCCCTGACTGACAAACTTACTGACTCAATCTAAATACTCACAGAATCCGGACAGGGATCCTGTCATCTAGGGTCTCTAGCCTAGACCTACTCTAAGGTTGTCACTACTAGACCAGCTGCTGATCAGGAGGCATTTAAGGAGATCCCCCGTAACTCCTCAAGAATTATTTAACGTCGCAAACAGGACGACGCGATCAGCAGGTCTCTTTACACTTAGACTGTCTGTTGTGCAGCCCACAGCTCAGTTTTTCGGGCCTACCATGCCACACCAAGCAGCCCGCCGGTCTGTACCGGTCCTCGGGAGGGTTCGTATCCTCCGGGACAGTCAAGTCGTCAGACACAGTCTTTAGCCCTACTTAGTCCGGGAGGGGTTTGGTCATCAAGGCCCTATCCTTCATCCACAGAGTTCCTACACCTAGACAGAAGAGACTCAATGCAGAAAGAAGAGACAGACAGACTTGACTCAGCGAGTACCACAGGGTGTGTGCACATCCATAGGGCGAGGGTTAGGCTTAAGGCTTGGCGAGATAATACCGGCGCCAGCCTGGTCAAAATCGTGGTCGACGGTCTTGGTCAATGCCTTGGTCAACTCTGGTCAGCACCTCATGTCAACTCCCGATCAACATCTGGTCAACTCGGTCAACTCTTTCGGTCGGCTATGGTTGTCGGCTTCTCCTTCCTCACCACCCTTCTCCTTCCTTTCTCCTTCCTCGCCACCTTTCTCGTCACCCTGGCTGTCTTCTTTCTTCTTTTTTTTTTTTTTTTTTTTTTGATCGCCTCTCTCTTCACCTTCTCGGCTATGGCTTCTCTCTCCCTTCTCAGTCTCCTCCTTCGCCTTCTCTTTCCACCTCCTTCGTTCTCTGTGGTCGAGCTCTGTGGCTATGGCCGCTTCTCACTTCGTGGGACTGCATGGCACACTTCACAGGTAAGTGACAACCAAGCTTGTATCGCTCATCTCTCTCCTCTGTCTCTCTCTCTTCTCGCCGTAGCGATGTCTTCAACGCTGTTACGTGGTAAGCCAATCTTGTATCGCTCAACCTTTCTCTCTCCCTCTCTCTCTCTCTCTCTCTCTCTC